AATAAACTATATATAAATATTTTATTATTTTATATTTAAATAATTAAATAAAATTATTAATTAAAACATTAATTCAAGTATACAATTTTATTTGAAAACCTTATTTCAATATAATTAAATTCATATTTTTTTACTTGTTGAAATTAAATAAAATAAAGATTCCATTATTAATTTAATTAGCAGTTTTAAAGCTAATTTCAAATTATCAAATATATTCAAACTTTCTTTAATCCGCTCTATTGATTTACCTTCTATAGTTATAAGTATTGTTATTCAATATAGCTATAACTATTTTAATTATATTTTATATTATACAAATCAAATAAAAAAATGATATTTAACTATTAAAAAAATATTTTTTTTTATGAAATCATTAAACTTGTCTTAAAAAGTATAATAATTGATAGTTTCTTTTATTATTATTCAATAAAATTAATAAAAGTTTCGTAAATAATACAATGACCTGTTTAATTAAAAAGGTAAAAAATACCTACCATTTTATATTTTTTGAAAATAAATTTTATTAAAAAAACATAAATGTGTAATGTAAAATATTATACGTTATAAGAACGTCTTCATATGCAAATACACCCTTAGCAACACGTAATAGTACTGTGTATCAGCAGAAAAGAAGGTTGATTAATAATTTTCCAAATCAGTCAAAGAAATTAATTTTAAATGATTGAGAGTGATAAAAACGAACATCAAATCAAATGAATATGCTTATATCACCATATTAGCGTCTTAAACAAAATACTTGGAATATCTCGGAAAACCGATGACCGTCTGCCCACCATGTACAGTATACATTCTTTTGCAGACTTCTCGACTACTTTGAAACGTGATGAAACTACAGTATATTGTATGTTCTAAAATATTTATTTGAATTAACTTTGGAAAGGTGAAAAAATGAAACCATGTTTATGAGGATTCGTTTATAAGTTAATTGTAGCGATTTTATAAAAAAAAAATCACATTTTGTGCTATTCACGGTTCACGTCACTTGTAAAACAGCTTATGTTCTGGAAAATTATGTATGGGTCTTGTAATACAAAAATATCTCCAAGTATAATAGGTAATTCAAGACACTAACACTTGTTGAAATAGTAATACGAATAAAGATTCAATAAAATTGACTTGTGGGTTAAAACATCAGATATTATTATACGGAGGAATTATGTATTTTGCACAAAAAAAAAAACAAGAAATCGCATCTAAAAGAGAACCTAAAAACAATATGATCACGAGAGTGAATAAATCATCCTAGGGTTGGAAATCAATCATAATTTTAAAGTATTAGTACGCTAACACGCGTTTTTAATATATCAATTATATATTTAGGAGAGGACCTTTGAATTTCGTAAAAAAAAAAAAAAACTATTTCTTCACAAAAACGTTCACTATAATTCAAAGAATTTTTTATTTTCATGTAATTAACGATCCTCATTGTGATGAGTAAATCGAGACACGACAAAATGTTGAAAAATACAGTCGAACTTTCAAAATGCATACTCTTATTTCTGTTCCTCTCTGCTCTTTTCATATCTACCAATGGTATTGTGTTGTAATACTTTCTTTTAGAAAAATTCCATGCAAATTTCATAACTAACTCTTCATTTTCGACAGCTCAAAAACACTTATCATGTGCGGGCAGCCTCCAAATACGTAAACCCCACGACCTCGAGGCTCTGCAATCCTGTACAACATATAGAGGTGTAATTTCCATTAGCTCATTAGCCATCACCAATTTGGCCTTCCCCAATCTTCGAAATCTGGACGGAATCATCTCCATAAACAACAATGAGAATCTCCGTTACCTCTCCTTTCCACGCCTCAAATCTGCCATTCGCATCTATGTAGTTAATCAGACCCTTCTCAACACGGTAGAATTTCCTTCAATACAAAAGGTAGTTTCATTGACGTTCAGAAAGTTACCCCTTTTGACGAGTTTAAATTTCCCGGCGAGATTGAGTGAAATAGAAAGCTTTGAGGCAACAGATACAGGAATAACGAATTTAAACGGACTCGATGTGAGAAGCGCGAAGGACTTGAAAATCGCGGAAAATCGCAATTTATTAAATTTGAGGTTGCAGAATTTGAGAGATGCCGGTGAATTTTTCTTTTCTGGAAACGGAAACGGGAGGATCGAGGTAACTGTGTGTCTAGTATTTCAAATTGCGGTTATTGGTTTACACCTTTTTTTCTCCTTCGTCATGTTTTAGGTTCCAAATTTGGTTTCTTTAAGAGACTTAACCATCCGAAATGTAGGTTTCGCAGACCTTCCCAAGCTCGAGACCGTTTCTAACGACGTGGTTATTAACGAAAATTCTTTCAGTTCATTTACCATTCCAAAACTTTGTTCCATCTCCGGAACGTTGACCGTCCACTCTAACGCTCTCGAATCCTTTTGCTTCCCGGAACTCCAAAATGTCGGAGGTGCTATCTTGGTCTCCAGTAATCTTAATCTAAATGTTATTTCGGGGTTTCCTAAGCTCCGACAAGTCAACGAAGCTATAGATATAACGGGAAGCTTCAGTGAATTGAAGTTACCAGGGTTGCAAGAAGTACGCGGAGGACTGAATGTTATATCAAGTTCCAAGAAGTTTTGGTGCAAAAAGCTAGATCCGTTGAAAGACGTGGTCAAAGGGGAAATTTTTGTGTGTAAATCAGGAGTCAAAGATCCAAAGGCATTATTTGCTGAAAAGAAAAAGACGGAGATCATGACGAGTAATAATGGCACAGTGAATGGTAATAATAATATCAGTGCCACGAATGCAGAAAAGACGAGTAATGCAGATGGAGTCAGCGTTAGATTCGAAAGTTTGATATTGGGATTTGTGGCAGTATCTATGATGTTTTTGTCGTAGATTGCATCCGAATTAATTCGAAAATAACTCACGAGGCCTAGGATTTTATTTACTGTATTTATTTATTATAAGTTTTTAAAAATCCTTTCACATACAAACAAAGGATATTAAGATGACCTAACTTATAATTTGAATTTAATCTACCTTATTTACGACCTACCAAGTTTCAAATCGACTTTCCAAATACATACAGTATAAACCTTTAAAATTTCATCAGCATACTCTCTTTCTGATGCCGTTTGATGACCTCATCTTGAAGCGAATCATCGTACCTTCTGATGCCAAAATATTTTTTAAAAAACATCTTCCAAGTAAAATCAATTATTCGGTAAAATAATTTCACAAAAGTTCTTCGGTACACTTTTGCCAACAAATCGAATAAACGCTCTCCATCACATCCAGTGAATGTTGTTTGGCTACACTGATGCCGTAATAAACCAAAACTTCTAATTCGGTGCATGAATTCAACAGCTTTGAAGATGACCACGTGTGGCCTAGATAATTTTGACCAATGTTTGAAATCAACTTCGATCCCTAAGATTTGAAAGTTCGCAAGCTCCAAAAGTTTGTCAGATGCAGGTGATCTCAGTGTTGTCGGATTATTAGATGTTGGGCAAAACCGAGATGCACACTGAAGATAATATGTTCATATTAATATTCGAGAGGTGTTTCTCGGATACGACATGCTTCAAGTGTCACTGAACTCTAATCAATTCCTCCAACAATGATAAACATCTTTTGTACGTTTCTACAAATCTTTGATATTTGGTGGTGAATAATCACTTTGTGTCGATATTTCAGTAATATTCGTGAACTTCGGCTAAAAGAGAAATATTTGAATAAAGAGGACTATCCCGAGCGAAAGATATCTGTGTTTTCGTCGCATGATAGAAATAGTTTTCGGTTATTAGGATCAAAGGTTATTGGAAACTTATACACTCTCAAAATATCTGGCGAACTTGAGATGGTTGAATAAAGGTTGAGACAGAGGAAGATTGATGATACGACGAGAGTCGACTTTGAAGATTCGAAAATTTATTCTGTTCCACAGGTGGGTGTGCCAACATAGTGTACCGAGCCATTGGAGTATTTGCTTTTTCTCGATTTTTCTAGGTCAATTTTTCTAAAGATCCTGTCGGTCATCATTCTTGATACGAAAAGAATGAGAGTCACATGAAGGCTGGATAAGAACGGTAATTTATTTGATATTGATATTATCGATGCCAATTGTGATTTTGGTCAATAAAAGATCTCGTATCGTCGCATTGCCACTATCTTTGATCAACTCTAGGATTTCTCCTGATATATCACGTGACCAATTTTTTTTTTACCAGGACGCGATCCAGGAAGTGCGTATATGCATTGTTTTCAAATACGTAGAGAAGTTGTGCACAAGCATCCTTAGCCCTGAGAGTCACGCAGATCCCGCCCAACGCCCACAAAGGAATGTAGATGCGTACGCAAGTACGTAAATATGTTTTGGCACGCGTAACACGACATACTCGCATAAGTACATATGTACAGTATATAAAGAAATTTTGAATTTAACGTTAAAGATTTTTGGACTTGTTATTTGTGTATATAGATATACAGTTCCATCCTTTTTTTTCTTTTGTTGTTGTTATTGTATATAGATATACAGTTCTATACTTGTTCTTTCCTCAAAAGAGGACCATAGACCTTTTACGATACATAGAATTTATAATTTTAATTGTTGGTCTAAAAAAGCAAGGTCTCAGACATATAGATTATATAATGATGATGAATGAATTAAGACTTACGCACATCTTTTTACTTCTCACGTGGACATTAACGACCTTTTTCTTTCCTACTACTTGTTTGGCATTCAAAATTTTCAATTTCACCGAAACCGAAAAAAATCTATTTCCAATAGAAGCAAGATCCACGGTCGATGGAGTTGCTATAGTACGTCTGACACAAAGACAATGCCCCACATCACTGGTGGCAATGAGATATGTGCAACGAGATGGAAGTGTGTTGACCGGTGATGTGCGGTTCAATTTTTCCTCGGTGAATTTTTGTCCAACAAATAGACTGGAAGTCCACCCGTTAGTAGGAAGATTTAATTTTGTCACCTACTTGGAGATTGTTAATAGCACTCCAAGTGATAGCTGGGTGCGATTTCGGGCGATGGTGGTTGGTTGGGATGGAAAAGTTTACAATAGGTATTTATTATAATTTATTCATTTTCTTAATGATTTCTTTTCCTCGACATGACCAACAATTTTCTCGTATCTTATTCCGAGTAGCAATTTTGCTCCTCTAAGTTCGCCATTCTTGGCAAGCACGAAATCGGTGGTTACAAGGACCGTCTTGCATAACGGAAACATTCTATGGACACTTCGACTCAACGATTCGAATTCGATCGATTGGATTCGGTTCGCTTCCCCGTATGTTCATTGATATGTGTAAATTTGAAATTCCGAAACATCTACATAGGCTGACCTGTTTTACCTTTACAAACGAGGCAGACATGAAATAACGGCGACATCAAACAACAGTGTGCCCCCAAATATATCAATAGATGCAGTAGGGAAATTCACACTGCCAGTAGTCAACGGTTTTACAATAGCGATTTTAAATTTCACCACCTTTGCCACTTCTGACAACAATTTTGCTATCGCATTCTCCGCTCTCGCATCGAGTACCACCGCCCCGGCTGCGTTCGTCGCGTTTCTCGTCGATGTCAACAGAGATTTCAACGACCCCTTTCCCATATACCAGCCTACTTTTCCACTGTCTCTTCTCGAGATAAATGATTGTGGCGAATCGACATTTGAGGGGACAGGTTTTCGATGTATTATTTCTGGGAGAACCCCTGGGAACTCAAGTAAATTCCAAATGTCGTCGACGTTTCTCATAACGGGTTTCATACTGAATCTTGGCCAGTTGAAAACAGACACTCCGAGTGGGACTAAAGTGATTGATGCAAGATTTGATCCATTATATTTTGGAGGATTTTTGCAGAGGTTATTTACAAATGGTGGGATAGAAGGACGAGTGTACGACTCACAAGGGAATTTCAAATCTTTATGGGACATACCATTGAGCATGACTGTTAATTCCGTGGGATTCGGAGTATTTTATAATAATACTGCCTTTTTTGCGTCAGGCGGTGTGCAAAATGGGAGATGGTCGATTGTCAGTACTGATTTACAAAAAGTTCACACAAATGGTAGCGAGTTTATTAAATAGTACATAATTCCTAAATATTTCACATTTAATGACTTTTTTCCCACACATATGCATAGATAGTGGATTTGTCAACCCGAACATCGCCGCCACCTCGTCACCTAACTTTTCGCAAATTGCGCTGGAGACGACATCCCTCACAATCACATTCGAGAACGCAGTAAGGCTCTCCAATGGAAACATTACGATATACCAACAGAACCCAGATAATGACCTACTGCGACAAACATTCTCGGCTAAGTCTCACTTCGTTACATTGGACCCTAATGAAATCGACATGAAGGTGACGGTGCTGGAGAGCACGTTCAACCAGCCCTCGAGCAGTTATTACGTGGTAATTGATGATGATTTCGTGAGGGCGAAGAAAACTAATGAAGCTGTTGGTGGTGTACCTCCGAGATTCTGGACTTTAAACACACGTGAGTCTTCGAATAACATCTGATATTTTTTATCACGCAGCATCTAACTTTAAGTCAAAAAACATCCTAGCGAATGCAAACGACGTACCTACAGGCAAGGATAAGTTCTATTTTCGGTATTCAATACAAAGTATAATCACGATCTAATGCACCTATCGCCTTATGAATAGGCACGACAACAGGTCTTATTCGTCTTTCAAAAGATGCCACTTCCTTCTTTATTCAACTTCCCAATTCGAATCGATCTTCATTCGTCGATCAACTTATTTCACAAATCTCGCTGGCACTTCCGATATCCTCTAGCCGTCTTTCAAGTTCACCCAGCTTCCAGTTTGAAACGAACGTCAAACCGGACCAACTGATTCTACCCATAACCGTAGAAGAGACACGAAATACTTCGGAAAGGGGCGTAACAAATATACTAAAGTGTTTGGATGTATTGATTAGGAACAAGTGGATTACAGCTTTAGCAGTTTTGGACAAGTGGGAGGGAGTGGACGAAAGCTTTGGTGTTGAATGGATAGGTGAGTCGATAATTTCTTTTGTTTAATGGAATGACTTATTGAATTGATGAAACTTTATTTTTATTGATCAATATTTTATTTTCACATCTAGAAAATGAAAAAATCAATTATAAACTTGCGACTGTTGGAATTGCCTTATCAATTTTAGCTGTTGTAGTGCTTTGGTACTTTTTAACTAGGAAACAAAAAGAGGTATATTTCGTGTGTTAACTTTCGCATTACAATTGGGACTCCCGAATATTATGTGTTTGCAAACTCATCGATCTCTTCACATCATAGGGAAGAAAATGGATAGTGTTAAAGTTGTTACTAATATTAGTAGATTTCGTGTTTGATGTATTGTTTGTTGTATATCATGGAATGGATTTTCCATGGCTGCACGGGCCGAGGTAAATACTCTGTTGTTACTTTTGTATTTGTATATACTCAATATATCGCAACTATTAATTGACATATTTATTCACTGTCTAACCCTTTACAGCGTTCTCTTCATTGCACTCCCTATAGCGTTAAATGCTACATTGGCTATTCTCTTACCAATGTATGAAATCAGTGAAAAACCTTTTTCCTATAATAAATCTCAAAAGTATACTTTGACCTATATCGTAGCGTTTTTCGCTGCAATCGATTTGGCATTCTTTGAATTAATGGATTCGAAGTTGGGCGGCTGGAAAATATTCAACCTAAAATATTCTCCAGTGGCCGAGAAAGTTATCTTTTGGGGAGGCGTGATACTATTTTTCATAGAAGATATGGGACAGTGGATTATACAGGTACGTTAACCTCTTGTGAACGCGTAAAATTCTTGATCTCTAATTTTAGTTTGTTTATTCTTGATTCCATGCTTATCGAATAATGTTTATGTATTTCTTCCAATTAACAGATTTTGTACAAAAGAGACGCCTTAAAATATGATATCATTCCATACTTCACATTGGTGACTTCAACATTGATTATAGCTTCACATTTGATAGAGTGGATCCACATGGTATTCTTTGAGAAGGTGGATGAAAAATTCGAAATTACCGAGGAAGATTTTAGCTAAAGATGATATAAGTGTGTATTTAGGAAAATATATATATAATAGAATATAGTAAGAATGTTTATAATGTAATATTTAAATATTTAAAATGAAAAATTAGACTGCACAAAAAATCCAAATTAATAATAATATTATTGCATTGCATATAATTGAGCAAATGAAATATACAATTGAAAATAATTTAACCTTGATTTTAAAATGTGTTATCGAGATAAACTGTTCGTTGTACAATTATGTTATGAGTCGCCTTACTGCCAAATTAGAAGGCTTTACAAGTTCGAACGTCAGAGGAGGATCTTTCATTTTACTATACTGTATATAGTATATCTTTATAAACAATTTTAGTTGATATACAAATAGCATTGCATTAAGCTTTTCCAAAACAAATAAACAAGATAAAATAAAAAATTTACTTTGCCATTAGCGAATTAGCAAGTCTGTTATCCCGCCAACAATGCTTTGTGACAAGTAGATTAGGATAAAAACAACAAAATTTCAAATTTACGAAATTTATTGATAATTGGAATTATTATTATTATTATTTTACATATTAAATTTTCATTTAATAAATATGTCAAAATGGCAAATAAAAAAACGAAAAAATAAAATAAAATAGAATGTGTATATAACATAGAATAAAAATGATATATTGATTTTTCCTATGTTGTATATTATATTGCCATTAACTTGGAAAATAAAGAATTTGTCTAAAAAATCTTTTGTTTTCAAATATTATGACATTTGTTCATTTTTTAAAAAATGTTGGATATAGTAAAAAAAAAAAATAAATCAATTTTCTTTTTTTTTAATAGTAAACATGCTTAGATATGAATTTTTATCGATTCTTGATATCTAAATGATTACATTATACATCATAACGTAAACTATATATAATTTTAATGTTGTCTAATAATATTTATAATATTGATTTATGATTTTTTACCCAGCATATCTAGCATAGATAAATTTGTTACTTTATATATAGGTTTACATATCGAACAGAACTTGATTCCTTAAAAATAAAAATTTCAATACTAATTTTAAACTATCTAATCTAAAATTAAATTTAAATAGTTTACTTATAGAAAAATTATACAAAGTATCAGTACGAAAAATAATTTAAGCTATTTTAATTGACTTTTATCACCAATTCTTGAAAAGTATTATTAGTATAATATAATAATACTATATTTTGTTTAAGATTCTTGTTTTAGATTTTTATATAATTTTTATAAAATTTGATTGATTGATTGATTTTTATTTTATGTTTTATTCCTTGTAATTAATAATTTTATCTTGTTTAATTAATATTTTTAAACTTATAAAATATTGAAATATTTATCAAATTCAAATATATTGATTTAGAATTAACTTTTTAAAAATCTTTAAAATTTGATAACTTAATTTTAATTAATAAAGTATTTATCAAAATTTAACTAAAAAAAAATTATTTTTTTTGATTATTAAATTGTTTTAACTTTTGATTAATAAAAGATCAAAAGGTTTGTTTTTTTTATAACTTGATCAAATTTGAATAATAATCTGATTAATTGAATATAATGTATATTGAAAATCAATAAATTAAAAATATTATTGTAGCAAAATACAATAAATTAATTCAATTTATTAATTTATATTATATAATAATAATAATATTATTATTTTATAAAAATTATATGAATTTAATTAAATAAAAATTATCAATATAGATTTATTAATCTTATATTTTAAATAGTTTGTTTATTTTAAATATTATTTGATATATAGTAATACTTGAATTATATACATATATTAAAATAATTTTATTGCTTATTTACAGATTATTTTATATATTTTATATTATATATTGAATATATACAAATTTTGATAACATTTTTATCGAAAATTTATCAAATCAAATTTGTTTTTATATATACAGCATATCTATATATTTACAGTATATACAGTATTTGGTATTATGTTATACTGTGTATTTCAAATTGTATGTGATGTTTTTTTATCAACTATACTCATTTGTCGTATAGATAATGAATATATTGAATACTTGTTTATTTGTTAATTTGATTATAGTCATAATATATATATGTATATAAAAGAAATTGCTTTCTTTGAAATCTACAAGAATAATAACGAGAAATGACACCGAGAAATCCAATTATTGTCATAAATTTCTTTTTGTTCGCAGAATCGATGGGTTGATTTCATTGAAAAGAATTTTCTTTTTTGGTATTTAATTAAGAAAATTTCCACCATTGTCGCCATTGATATGAAATTACTCAATATGTTACATGTTGCACTCAATTCTTGCGAGCATGACCTTTTTATTTAAGTGCACAAAATTTCAATGCAACGATTAATCAGGATTCAATGCAGCTTAAACCTGCACGATAGAATCCAATATTGCCGATTACGTAAATGAATAATTATTTTCGAAGGCGATGAAAATGATAGATGTGTTTTTTCGGCCTCCACTTTTAAACAATACGTATACAATGTTATTTTAAGGAGCATAATTATATTATCCGAAAGATCCCTGTCCACCTTCAAAAATAATTACCCAAATATCAAAAATTTCTAGCCATTCAACCTTATTGACAAATGCTTTGTCGTAATATTGTAAATGAATGTTTGATTTATTTTTATTTATCATATCTACAAGGATGCGTATTGTATAATTGTATGTATCTACGTATCTACAGAGAGAACTTAAACTGCGAAAATGTAATTAAAATTTCCGAAAGAATTCACGATGGTAACGATAAATAATTATGAAATCAAAAGAGAATGAATGTATGAATGAACCGCAAGCAAACGCGAAGCATATTTTGATCAATCAAACGGAGGGATAATTGCTTCTTTTTTTTTTTTTTTTTTGACTCTCTTTAAGCATTTTCTATGAGATTTGGTTTTTTGCCATCATGTTTCATCAAGTGAAACGTGTATTTCAAAAAAGAATATGCAAAAATAAACGTGAAAATGAGAATTGCAATGCCGAGTTTTAAAAATACGAATTATGAAAAATGTTAACAGTGTGGATGGAATGCAGGCCTTAAACCTCCTCTTACTCCTTAGGACCAACTTTAGTAATAGAACTATTCCTTCGTTGCGCTTTCTTCAACGCTTCGATTTTCTTACTTGCCAACACATGTCCCCGAGCAAA